TCAGCAAGCAAATCACTATATCTATAATCAACAGTTTAAGGGTCTCTAGGACTTTATAAAACTCTATGCAAATACAGGCTGTTTACTATCTAATAAGGGATCTGGAGGAGGGATCTCTTTTCTTTAACACAATTTCATTAGATCATCCACATTCCCATGTCTTCTAATTTGTTATTTTGTGTTCAGCTCACCGCAGGTTTTCTGTAGTAGAAGTAGACGGATTTTGTGCTAACTTCTTTGTTGATAGGTGGAGAATAATTTTCCTGCTAAAAGACAAAATGACAATTGATTTTCAGATTATCTAGATTTCTATTTAAATTGTCCTTATATATCAAAGAGACAGTTATGTGATGCCCTATAGCAATATCCGCCAGGGGTTTTCAAGGGCTTCCTCATCCTACCGCATTCCTTACTGCCACCACTGTTCAGATAGCCCTTATTATGCCGACTGTGAATGCACTTTCACTGTAGCCGAAATGTTTGCTTTGAGGCATTTGGATTCGATGTAAAATAGGAAAAAGGAAGTCATGAATCAAAGGACCTAAACAATCCAGATAATGTATATATCACTCAAATTAAAAATAAGAATTATCTTAGTAAACTATCTTTTACAATAAAAAATAAAAAAATAAAACAGGGGAATCGCTGATGTTGTCATGATCTTGGCACCTGATGACAGGCTTAATGGTTCATTCCTTTCACCTGCTTAGCGTCCCCCAGTTTTTTATCACTGTTCACCTGTGTCCCCTGCTCCTGCCTCTTTTTAAGCTGCTTGCTCCCTGTCATCAGTGCCAGATTATTCAAGCCTTTGCTGAGAGTTCTCTAGCATACCCTGTATGTTGTTCTGATTGCCTGATCCTGACCAGTTCTACCCTATGACCTTTAAGCCTGCCTGTTCCTGCCTCGGATTTGTTTGCCTGACCTGTCTTCGGACTCCTGCTAGTTTCTGCCTATGGACTGAACCTGGATCTGCCTCCTGACTGTGATTTCCCTTTGGCGCGTCTTTAGATCTCTGATCTTCTAGTCTGCACTCTTGTAAACCTCTGCTGTTAGCCATCCGGCTCACTTCTACTCCTTCTTCTGGGCACAGACTGAACTCTAAAACCAGGTTAGTGACTCACACGCTCATAATCGCCCTCGGTCAGATTTACATCGTCACTAATCTGAGTTTTCCCCTCTACAGAGATTTCGACCTTTGACGCCCCTGTTGCTGAGTGGCAGATCCGGCATATGTTAATAATTGCTTTTGTGAATCACACCTATCTGTCTGCTTCGAATTCTGGGTCTTTAGTTCTGACATTTGACAGATATGGTAAATAAACTATTAGTTTAAACATTACATTTTACATGTACTTACATTAAGGATTTAATATGTGTAATCTTATAAATAAGACATTATGCTGTTGTAATGTAAGATTAATCAAATGCAAGGCTTTTTAAAGATTTTTACCCAGGCTTACCTAGTGCAGACGGCATTATATTCTAACTCTGAGTTTACCGCTTGAACAAAAAAAATGACTCATTTCTTGACAAACTGTTTATCCTGAAGCCTTATCACAAATCACAGATGAACTCACTCAGTTTTGGGCATGAAGGATCTTTATATATCCATGTTCCCCAGAGCACAATTTAAAATCTTTTTAACTCTTTTAAAATAAAAAGATAAATTAATCCAAACAATCTATGGGGTCGTTATTGTTGTTTTATACTATATCTGAATTTATAGTTCAGTATTTTGTACTTTACTTGAACAAATGAACATGCACTTTTTTTTTAGAGCCCCTTATAATGAATAATATGCGTTTCAGCATAGTTAGGGTCGTACAGCAGAATCTATCAAACACAATCACATTTTTGCCCATATTTAGTCATACAAAACAAAAATGAGCCAATGCTAATATGTTTGATGTTCCTCCTGGTTTCTACAGATAGTGGGCCAAATGATCAAGGGGATTTAAACAAAGTTTGTAACTCTTCTGCGCCCAAAGGGGAAGAGGGATTAAAAGATCCAACGTGCCTCAAGAGAAACATGGGTCT